CGATAGCTTGTTCCGTTCAAAAGTTAAGGGGGGGGAGGACTTTTTACGTCCTCACTGTATATTCAGATATGATAGATATAGTTTTGATATTTATGTCAACTTAGAGTTGTATTGACATTTTCTTATTCACAATATAATTTTGATATTCCAACTAAACTTGGCCTTGTCTCTACTTTCCAACGCATAACAATAACAGGTTATGGGCCCAGATTTCGAAGATTAAACTTTTCCTGTAAACTCCGAAATAGTAAGAATGCCCCAAACGAAAAGTACTATGAACACCATCATATTTGGATCAAATGGGCCGGCAGTCGAGAAGTTGGAAGGTGTTGTGAATTATAATAACTGGAAGTTCCAAATGAAAATGTCTTTGATATTGGATGGTCTTTGGAACTGTGTTTTGGGAACTGATGCCGATATGAGTAAAGACCAAAGAGCTCTTGCAAAGATTTGTCTTAGCGTGAAGTCTTCATGTATTCAATACGTTCGAGATGCCAGGAATGCTGAAAGTGCTTGGGATAATCTTCAAAAGACTTTTGTAGATAAAGGACTCTTTCGTAGAGTTACCCTGTTACGCAAATTGCATAGTTCGGATTAAAAAGACTATAGTTCAATGACTGAGTATATTGATGGTATAACATCTCTTGTGCAACAATTGACTGATATTGGTAGAAAAATTGATGATGAGGAAGTGTCTGAGCTCTTATTGAGTGGTTTACCTCAAGAAAGAATATGACACATTAGTTTGTAACTTAGAGACTACCCATATGAAAACCGCGATTTCGAGTGAGATGGTTCGGTCATGTTTATTTCAAGAAGAATATCGAAGGAATCAAGTTCCAAGTATGTCCAGTGAAGTAGTATTTGCAAGCACAAACTCATCACTGAAATCATCAGAAAAATCCTCTTTGGTTTGTCAATATTGTGGTAAAAAGGGTCACATAAAACCAAAGTGTTATAAACTTAGGAGACACGAAAAATCAAACGAAACAGAACAAAAATACAATAAGAAGTCTACCGATAAATTATTGTTCGTTTCTGCTTTGACAACAGCTCCATATAATGATGGTGGTATGTGTGCGCTCAAAGACGGTTTGGCTACAGGAATCGATTTTAAAAAACAGCAAATTAATCAAATCCAAAATTGCGTACCATGCATTGAGGGGAAGCATAAGATGAAGTCATTTCCGAAAGGTGAAGCTAAAAGAGCAATGTCACTATTAGAATTAGTCCATTCCGATGTTTGTGGACCAATGTCTGAAAGAACATGGAGAGGAGCTCGTTATCTTCTGACATTCACTGATGATTTTTCTCGGAAAAGTTTCGGATACCTTCTCAGAAATAAATGCGAGGTTTTGGAAAAATTCCGAGAAGTCAAAATACTGGTGGAAAATCAAACCAACTTGAATATAAAGAAGCTCAGGACAGATAATGGTGGCGAATATTGCAGCAACGCCTTCCATTCCATATTGCCCTCAACAAAATGGGGTGGCTGAAAGGCTGAATAGGACTCTCATAGAGAATAATAGAGCAATGCTTCAAGATTCTGGCCTGAATAAGTGTTATTGGGGTGAAGCTATTATGACTTCAATTCATTTGAAGAATAGATGTTCATCAGCTGCTATTCCTGGATATACACCTGAACAAATCTGGACAGAAATCAAAGTCGATCTCAGTAATCTACGGGTCATTGGATCGACGGTTTTTTCGTTGATTCCAAATGAACATAGGAGAAAGTTTGATCCAAAATCGAAGCAGTATATTATGGTTGGATACTGCGAAAAATCCAAAGGATATCGGCTTGCAGATCCATCACATCCGGGTAAAGTTATAAAATCTCGAAATGTGATTTTCATCGAAGAGGAACCCGAAGGAAAGACTAATGGAGATGAGAGCAATAACAATATGAATATTGCTTATATGCCTTCCACTAGCCATGCAGAAAGTCTACCCGACAATGCTGTCATAGAAGAGTCTCCCGATGTATCGGTTATACAAGATAGTTCAGCTGTAGCTACAGAGGAGGAAGTCTTTTTAGATTCGATGTCTCAAGATATGACAGCAGACCTTTGCGAAGTACTCGAGGGCGACTACCTAAGAAATTTTAAGATTTCGAATTGATTTTTCTTTCTGATACATTCATATATGATGACAATCTACAAACTTATTCGGAGGCAATATCTGGTGATTATAAATATGAATGGATGAATGCTATGAGAAGTGAGTATGAATCACTAATGAGTAATGTGTAAATGGATCTATAAGCTCAAACGAAATGCATCTGGTGAATTTGATGAGTTTAAAGCGAGATTGGTAGCTCGTGGATTCAGTCAGCAACAGGGGATGGACTTCAATGAAACCTTTTCACCTGTTGTTAGGCATTCCACTTTGAGAATGTTGTTTGCATTGGCTAATGAAACTGATATGGATATTGTTCATGTTGATATTGCAACTGCATTTCTACATGGTGACTTGAATGAGGAGATATATATGGAACAACCTCAAGGTTTTGTGTTTGGTAATCAAAAACAGGTATGTTTGCTCAAGAAGAGTATCTATGGTTTGAAACAGGCCAGTAGACAATGAAATTACAAAGTGCATGAATCATTGACAACTTTTGGGTACGTGCAATCAAAATGTGAGGCATGTGTCTGCATAAAGAAGTAAGATGAAACTTTGGTAGTGATTGCCCTGTATGTTGACGATTTCTTTATTTTTTCCAATTCTCAAGAGGAGGACGGAATTCTGATTGATCTTGAAAAAGAAATTCAATGTAGTATTAGTAGTAAGTATTTAGGTGCTGTAACAAGTTGTCTTGGTATGAAAGTTTCTCGTAACCAAAGTAAAGGCCAATTGATTTTGAGTCAGTCAGAATACATAAAAAACCTTTTAATAAAATTTGGTATGAGTGAATCTAAACCTGTTTCAACTCCAATGATTATGAATACAAAATTAGTGAAACCTAATGGTGAGGACATCCTTCCTGATGATAAATATCAATATAGGAGTTTGATAGGGGCTTTGACATATCTGAGTGTATGTACTAGGCCAGACATAGCATTTGCCTGTAGTCAACTCAGTCAATTTAATTCTTGTTACGATCAAAGTCATCGGGTTGCAGCAAAAAGAGTTTTGCGTTATTTAGCTGAAACCAAAGACTATGGATTGACGTTTGAAAAAGCCAATAATCAGAGGATTGAAGCATTCCAGGTAGCCGTGCGGACAGAGTGTCTATATTCTAATTCGCATTCGCTGCCGGTCGTGGGTTCGATCCCCGTCGACTGCAGAAATTTTTCTGATGGCCCAAGAAAGTGTTTGGGATCACACGTTAAAAGGTAAGGCCCCCGTCATTCCTTGCTCGCACAAGACTTTCGAAAACTTTTGAGGGTTGCTCGTAAGGGGGCAACCGAATGACGGATAGAACAAATTTTAGAACAAATTTTTTTTAGAATTCACTGATGCTGACTGGGCGAATGATCCAATTGACCGAAAATCGTATACAGGTTTTGTGGTGAAGATGGGCAATAACGATAAATTGGGATTCTCGTACGTACCATTGCACTCTCCAGCATGGAAGCTGAATACTTAGCTATTGGTGATGTAGTGAAAGAAGTATGTTTTGTGAGAAATTTGATGAGTGAAATCACTGGTGTACTTGATCAGATTGTCATATACAATGATAATCAAAGTGCGCATAAAATCATTGAGAATACTAATCATCATAGGCGCACAAAGCATATAGATGTGAGGCATCACTATATACGTGATTTAGTTCAAACAAAAGTTATTCTAATTAATTATAGAGAGACGAATGATATGGTTGCTGATGTCCAGACGAAAACGTTGTCGCGAGAGAAGCATCAGCGTAATAGAAACTCACTTAATGTTGAATTTATTCGAGAAGAAATTGATGTTAGTTCAATGGTCTACTCTCATATTGTTCTAATAATGTATTACCCTATATATTCAGATATGATATAGTTTTGATATTTATGTGAAGTTAGAATTGTATTGACATTTTCTTATCCACAATATAATTTTGATATTCCAACTAAACTTGGCCTTGTCTCTACTTTCCAACGCATAACATTAACAAAGGGGAGGCCTTCTAAGCCAATTCCACACTATTTTCTATATCAAGCTAAGCATATTTTTACTGTAGAACTATATTATTTGATGTTTGAAGAAAAAATGTCGTTTGCAAATCGAGGGCGAAATACTTTGGTCATCTCGACTATTTTTGTAACTCGGCTACGCCTCGGTAAAAAATCAGATCTTGATCACCAAAGTAGTATTTCGCGCTCTAGATACAAAAATAACTATTTCCATGAATAATTTTTGAAATCAACTTTTAAATAACTTCCATTTTTTTCAAATCTGTTTGCTTCACGCCACTCCATCCTAAAATCCCATGAACTAATTGTTTATCATGTGTTCAGGAGTAATTTTCGCCTTGTCTGTACAGTTATTCCCGATCCTTTTCAAATGAACGTATCATATGGTTTTATCACCATTCACCTATTCCTTATAGGTACTGGAAAGGAATTCGAATACCCTAATGACCTGAGTAAACAAACTGTGAATGATTTTCAAATAATTGTATTCGTCACTAAATCATTATTATTCCTTTTCATATACATGTCCCTAAAAAACAAGTTTTTCACCAAGTACCTACCCACCGTATCGTGTAAAGAGATTGTAATTTACAATAACCTATAGAAAAACTATTAATATAATGAACAGAAGTTATCGAAAACCTGATGTTTTCATGATTTCGAACTGACAGTAAGTATATGTAGTATTATGAAAACGGAAAAGTTTGATATGATAGATTATCATTGATGTCATGAGTAAGTGGAACATTTGATATAAGTGATCAAAACCACTAACGTTACACTGTTTCCACGTCTGTTCATTTGAATTCTGTAATTACATTTGGCGTTTTCAATAATTTGTACTTTGTTGAATCAGCAAAAAAATTATATCATATTCTGACTAACCTGGTTTCTGTAGTATGATGAGCAGATGGTGTTTGGAAGATGTTCGCATCATAAGCATCATAATCAAAGAAGGTATTGTGAATACAGTCATCTTCCTGAAGGAGTTTAGTTTTGGGAGAATCCTTTCGAACCTCTTCATCGGACAAGGGTGGAGGCAACTTTATTCTTGGGATGAAAGTAGAATATGCAATTTTTTTGTTTGTCGAGTAAAAAGATAAATTGATCCAATGTGGCATGGAATAATCATCAGGCACGTTGAGGTGAGTATCTTTATTATGAAACTGAAAGAAAACAAATTTAACTTATGAAGTTGAACTGAAAAATCATCAGGCAATAGTTTGACAAAAGTATTTTATTGATATTTCCCCGAAAGGAGCTGGAACATCATTAAGAAGACAGGACTACAACGATCTCCCTGTACCACGCGTCCTAGATTGTTCTCGAATATCCCAATAATTCTAACATGTACCAGCATATTTCCGAACACCCAATATGTATCGTAGCGACTGAAGATTCTCGAAACATCTTTAAACAATCGATGAAACTGTTATTGAGAGAAGTAATGTTTCAAGAATGATCTAGAACAATAGAAGTACCCCAGTACGCCAAGGCAACTAATATACAGGGTGTTCCGTCTAAACCGCACATTAGACGTATTCGAAGTTCTAAAAATGATACTGATCTAAAAAGTTGTATACGGGGATTATCGATTGAGTCCTCTTCAATTAATATATTTTCAAGATGACTGCACTTCCGGCTATATCGGAAGTGGACACCAACTTTCTTTTTTTTTCGAATGGAAAACTGAAAACTATATTTATAATCGCTTTTTCAGATTCCTTATGTCATTTTAGCATGATATTCATCAGTTTTTCCCATACCTTAGTTTATTCGTTTCTGGGAAGTTGAAATGGGATAAACATGTGAATCATGTTATTGAAAAAATACAATACTTGATATATAAATTTCGACTCATAAGAGATATTCTTGATTTGAAAAAAATTAAAACAATTTATTAGGCTTTAGTTGAATTTCACATAATTTATGGCCTACTAGGTTGGGGTGGTGTATCCAAAACTCATCAAAACAGCTCGAAATAACCCAAAAAGAGAATTATCAAGGTGATATACAGGCTGTCCGCTAAAAGGAGGTCAATCCATTAACCATATATTCCTTGAACAAAAACAATATGAGTTTCTCAATACCAATTTTCATTGAAGCCCTTCATATTCGATATACAGGGTGTCAAAGTTGGAAATTAAAAACTGTTGTTTCTTAATAACTCGCGTATTTAATGAGATATTAATCTCAAAATTCGTACATTACTCCAGCACAAAGAATTGCAACGTGTGAGGAAAACAAAACAGAAAATAACTGTCAAATATTCAAAATACTGGGGGTCAAGTACACACTTACCCCCATATTTTTTTATACGTGCGCTAATGACTGCCTATTTATTTTTCTTAAAGTGTTAAATCATTTTTGAGTATTTTGTGTCTCCTGTAAAATGTTTATAAAATTATTTGTTTTTAAGTTAATTCGAAAAGTACTGGATATTGTTCGATGCCTATGCGGCTTGCGGTAATCTCATAATGTTCTCATACTCCTATTTATTTCGTCGAAATTGGAAGAGGCCTAGCCGTAACTTTTTACGTACGAAAAGGTAAATATGGAAATACCAGGTGCTCAAAGTGAATGGATGTAATAATTTTTACGAAAAAAAAATTGATAGAAATTCAACACGTCTAACACATGCGAGCCCTTTTAATTGAAGAAAATCTTAGCCTATGAAAAATGTGGCTTTATCACAAAATCTTTATACATCCCCAGACAATCTTGATCAGCTATTTCTTTCATCAAGTAGCTATATGTATAAATCATGGATATAATAATTTCACCTAAAATTTCCGAAAATATTTTTTTAAATTTTTTCCGCTTTTATTTCCCGTTCGTTTGCGCACGATATACCATACGGGGAAGGGCTCGAAAATATTTTTAAAGTATTCCGCAACCCCCAAAACCGCTCAAACCGATTTTGAAACATTTTTAAAAATTTGCTGATCTCGAAAAAAATCGATTTAATAATTCTTTTAAAGGGTGGGCTCGTCAATCGACCCATTCCTATATTCCTTAAATCATTATTTTCCAGAAATTCTTTGATTAACTCAATTAAGAGGGCTCGCATGTGTATTCAAAAAATTGAAGGTCATATCGAGCAACCTTTTTTTTAGACGTGTTGAATTTCTATCAATTTTTTTTTTGTAAAAATTATTTTAGTACATCCGCTCTGAGCACCAGGTATTTCCATAGTTACCTTTTCGTACGTAAAAAGTTACGCCCTCTATCAATTTCGACGAAATAAATAGGAGTATGTGAACATTATGAGATTAACGTAAGCCGCATAGGCATCTATTGTACTATTCGAATTATCTTAAAAACAAATAATTTTATCGAAACAAGAGACAAAAAATACTGAAAAATGATTGAACACTTGAAGAAAAATAAATAGGAAGTCATTAGCGCCATACAAAAAAAATTTGGGGGTAAGTGTGTACTTGACCCCCAGTATTTTGAATATTTGAGTTATTTTCTGTTTTGTTTTCCTCACACGATGTAACTCTTTGTGCTGGAGTAATGTACCAATTTTGAGATTGATATCTTATCGAATACGCAAGTAATTGAAAAAAAAACAGTTTTTAATTACCAACTTTGACACCATGTATATCGAATATAGAGGGCTACAATGAAAAATTATATTTAAAAACTCATATTGTTTTTGTTCAAGGAATATATGGTTAATGGATTGACCACCTCTCAACGGACACCCTGTAAAACAAGCCCTACCGATATCCCTGACAACTGTACTTCTTATTGTCATATACATACATAAGGTAAAAAAGCAAGTTAGCAAACCTTCGAGCAGTAGAACACTCTTATAATACAAGAAATGAAGATGAAACATTTTCAACACCGTTCATGAAAAAACCAATAGGACAAAGAAATTGTTGTTGTAGCAATGCTTATTTGAGTCCGAAATTATTAACTCTTCTTCCCAATGAAATAAGAAACATGCCCTCTCCCTATGTTCTGATGAAAACATTGAAAGAATATAATATATTATCAAACTAGACAAACCATCCATGATACTAAAAATAATGATTCATAATAACTTAGATCAACTTAGGATAAACTTCAGGCCTTGATTACTGAGTGATCTCGAATATCTAATAGCATTTTATTTCGAATTCATTTCTTGATATCGTTTCAAATACTATCATTATTTTCTAATTCTGTATGTATCTATGTCCAATAATTATACTTTGTACGATAGAGAGGTGAAAGTTGTGTATATCAAGAAGAATCGCTTAAAGAATAACTGGACTTCAAGTTAATGAGGAGGATTAGATATCCGAAATGAATTGATTCGAATGAAGTCGTATAACCAAGATCAGAGTTTATACATGTTTACTTCTCCTATACATTTTAATGTTCATAACAATACTGAACATATTGGTGAGTTATATTTTTATATCATAATACATCATATTATTTTATCCGATATGAGAGAGAATGTGAATTCTCAATTCCAGATGATTCTTATTTTTCATGCACTCCGTTTGAATTTTCAACAATATAATTCAATGAAAAGGAATATTCTCAGATATTGAAAAGGAATATTGTTAAATAGATTTATGAACACAAAAAAATTGATATATATATATATATATACAGTATGATGCAAATGTATGGAATAAATTCATTATTTCAGAAATGGGCGACATTTGAAGAAATTCCAAAAACACGTGAGTTTTAATTTTTGAAGCCTCATCTCATGACATTCATATGAGAGATGTTACGTCACTGGTGTAGAAGTAATGACGTAATGGACGATTTTTTCAAATACAAGCAGGGGTCATGTGACACCTCGTTTGAAAGGTCTATTGATCGTCTATCCAACAGTCAAACTTTTGCATAAGAATATTGCAATTAAAATGGATTATCATTTGGTTAACTGAATCTTGCAGAGGTCTGCTACTGAGAATTGAACATCGAAGGGTCGTCTAGTTGAAAAAATACAAAATAAAAGAATTTCTGAACTCTAGTTTTGGATTTTTTTCGGAAGTCGTCTTGTTTTGAAATGAATTTATTCCATACATTTGCATCATACTGTATATATAAAGAAATACATTGAGAATTCGCATTCTCCATATGAAAACATTGATTCTTTCTCGGTTTATTCACCAGAAAACAACTACTTTCCTGGATATATGCCACGACGAATATTGAATTACAACTAAAACTATAACGAACTGAAATCTGAGAATTATAATTTGTTGACATGAGCACTGTCATCGGGCATTTGTTTTTGGATGTATGATAAATTGATATTCATCATACAGGACGTGGAAAGAAATTCTGAATTTAGGAAACCTAATCACGAATCTCAGATTCAGGTCTATGAAAATAACAAGTTTCCATCGTTCAAGTTTGAACCCCTTGATTGGGTGAAATTATTGAAAAGGAATATTCTCAGATATATTTATGAACACAAAAAAATGGATATCTGTAAAAGGTCTTTACAAAAACATACCACATATTCCTTAGACCAAAATAAGTCGATTAAGGTAAAATTACCTCAGTACAAAGTTGCATCGTTTGGGCTCCAGAGGTCCTTGAAGTTACAATTTTTAAATCGTTTTTCCCATATAAATTTGAAACGGCATATGCGATTTTGCTGAAATTTGGTATATTGATAGAGTTTTATGTGGCAAAAAGAATGGTGTCAAAATTTTGTCCGATAGGGGTTTGAGTATGAAATTTGGATTGGGTACTCATTTACTACAAGTAAGTAACCTTGATAACACTCGATTTACTCTCATGGTTTTGACAAAGTTTGTATTTTAATAATTATTTTTAATGTTTTAAAATTACTAAAATGCAAATTTCGTCAAAACCATGAGAGAAATCGAGTCTTATCAAGAGTACCTTTTATGAAGTAAATGAGTTGCGCTATCTAAATTTTATACTCAAACTCCGTTTCTTCCATTGGCGTAGAATTTTTAAAGGTGCAATTATTTAAAAAATCAAGTTCTACGCCTATGTATTATTATCGGACAAAATTGTAACACCATTTTTTTGCCACCTAAAATTCTATCAATATACCAAATTTTAGCAAAATCGCATATGCCGTTTCAAATTTATATGGGAAAAACGATTTAAAAATTGTAACTTCAAGGCCCTCTGGAACCCAAACGATGCAACTTTGTACAAAGGTCATTTTACTTAAATCGACTCATTTTGGTTTAAGGAATATGTGGTATGTCTTTGTAAAGACCTTTTACAGACACCCTGTATATATATATATTTCGAATCGTTTCTCCCGAATCACGGAAATATAAAAGTAAGATCAATGCTTTCTCTATCTGACGCTCAAAGTAGGCGAACATCAAGGATTGGTGAAAAAGTCTAGGATTGAAGTGTCTACACCATAGGTTTATTTCATCAATCTTTAATTTTTGTGTTACATTGCACAATTGATCATTATTGTTAACATCATTGTGATCATCCTCACGTAGATGTTGGTACTCCATTTTGGACAGTTTCTATAGTTCATTACTGACAATAATTATTGTATTTTTTCCTGATGATGGAATCAATAAAGTTCCGAAAGCTCGAATAATATTCGAAGAGTTCTCTTTACTTACTGCAAAACCTCACTTTTTACTAGTTGATACCTAACTAGTCAGTAACGACTACCCTTTAAAGATATAAAATAATCTCTTCCTAGTGTGCTTAAAACAGTTCCCTCAATATTCCTTCATATCATATCTCTGACTTTCGACAAGTCTCTGACTTTCGAGGGTTGCTTTGCAACTAAGCTGGCGGTTAAAAACACTTTTAAACACACTTTTTAATCATATACAGTGTCATTCATGAAGTTGGTATTATATGGGGAAAACTTTTGAAGATAATTTATATTGGAATTCGATTTGCTTCGAAAATGATGAAAAATTGCCTACACTGTCGGAGTCACGTGACTTCTGCTAATTGTGGAAACTAACCATTTTTCAAATTAGTCTCTGAAAACAGAATTATTTGTTCGAATTTCAAAAAAGTTTACAGAAAAATGTTGTTTCTATTCCAATTCCACACATGTGTCTGAACGTTCTATTGCAACGTTAGGTCCTTGATATTTTTTAAATCTTATAATAATTGTAACTTCGACAAAACTGGTCCTAAACTTCGGCATCACTTTAGTACTGAAAAAATCTGTTAATTATAGCAGGAGATTTCAATTTCAACTTAAACGTAGAATCCAAATGTAAATCTGAATTTCAAGGTATTATAAAATCTTTTTACGCAGTTCTCACTATAAAAGATTTCACTCGCGTTATCAATAGATCAAGAACTTGTATTGATAATATTATTGTTAGAAAGGATTCACAATATACATAGAATAGACTCATCTCTCTCTGACCATCGAGCGCAGTTCATTACTGTTAATTATACTATATCTAACAAAAACAACAATTTGATTTATAAGAGATTTTTCTCAGATTAATCCATATATCAAAGTTAACATCTGAAATTGGACAACGAGCCTGGTATAAGGTTTTCACTGAATATGACACTTTGAAATTTGAAACTTTATTGCGAATTTTAGGTGACCTCTTGTTAATTATCCCATATCTAACAAAAACAACAATTTCATATATAGAAGATTTTTCTCAGATTAATCTATATAGCAAAGTTAACATCTGAAATTGGACAACGAACCTAGCATGACGTTTTCAATGAAAATGACACTCTGAAATAAAACACTTTTTTGCGAATTTTCGGTGACGTCTTTGAAACTTGTTCCCTCATGAAAAAACTCTAAGACAGTAAATAACAAAAAGTGACGAATGATGAAGTTAAAAATATGAAAAAATTAGTACGTACCCTGCAGATAATGTCTCTTGAAAAAAAACTTCTGAAAAAAGTATACAGTGAATATAGGGAATTTTATCGGATACTTCTGAAAAAAATAACACAAAAAGTGAAAACTTCGAATATATGAAAGAGAGCGACAACATATCTGAAACTAATTGGAACATGATTAATATTCTAAAGACTGCTAACTCGACAAATGTTGTACCTGATAATTTTGGTGATCATAGATGGATTTCCTGTAGTTCAGTTTTGACTTCTACTCAGATATCATTTTGCAATTTGAAATCTAAGCTTCTATTTATGAAAAAGACGAAGAAACTGATTACACTCGGATCTTACAGATTATTTTACTCAAACGGGAAGTAATATTGGTTCATTCGCCCGCGAGAGTCAATTGACAGTATCGTTTCCAGAAATGGAGGATCAAACGGCTACTTTTCGAATCAGTGAGTGTATAAAATATGTTATTACCTTCAGTAATGGAACAGCATGTAACGGTTGTTCACCAACACACACCAAGTCGCTACCAACACCATTATCTATTATTCGCTGTTTGGTAATATTTGTCAACTCACGGTCGACCTCAAATACTCCTACTCCGGGAGTAACTACAACACTCAATTGTCCTGTGCGATCAAAATTGCGATCCAGATAATGTTTCTCGAAAACTGAAAATAAGAATGATGACAAATGAGTGTTGAATATAAACAAAATGATCACGAAATATATTTCAAAATGTGGAGAGATAAGTAAATCTGAATTGACGGTAATTATTTTATAATCATAATAATGATGAAAATGATGCCAAAATTATTTCAATTCACAAGTTTGATACATGATGTGATAGGTAGGGAGTTTTAAACAGCAGAAGGTTCCATTTTCAAGTAGGCAGATGAAAAACCAACAATAGGTTCAAGCGGTAATAGTAAGTTCTAACTTTTTAGCAAACGAATAATTGAAATAGCTACAAAGACCAATGAATTTTATCAAATAATTAGAAACACCATATGGATCACTAATTCTTTACTAACTTTATTGTTTGTTACGATCATTTTCGATCCCATCGAAAACAAGATTAACCGTAAATCTTCCCTTCTTCGGCAATTAACAGCGAATAGGAAAAATAAGGATGGAGTTGAGGTTAAGCACTTCAAAAATCAACATATTATATAGGGTTCATCACGTAACCCGTTTGTTGACTTGGAATATCATATATCATATAACATATCGCCACGGGTGTAGCACTCCCCGTTAAACCAGAAGTGGCCACAAACGTCCTTATTATGAACGGGTCATTCTGTATGTTTGAAGTCTACGTATTATTTTGAAAAAAAAAATGGTTGAATATGACATTATAATCTGCTGATCAATAGAGCAGTTCAGCTAGCGTTGAAAGAGAAAGGAATATCTCCCCCATCTGTCCTTGTTTTCAATGCTCCAACGTATAATAATGGAAATTCTATGTTGGTAACATTGAAAATGGAGAGAAATGGAGGAGATCATATTAACCTCATTATAAAGAAGGTAAGAATAGTCTTCTCAATTTCTTTTCATTTCCAATGTTGCCAACATGAAATTTTCATTCCCTTATGTTGGAACACTGAAGACAAGGACAGATAGGAAATAATTGTTTCCTTCTCAACGCTTGCTGAACTGCTCTATTGAACCGCATCAAGCACATTTTTTTTCTAAATTCAACATTAAATATTTTCGCAAATATTTCCCTCATATATCGGTAATTGCACTGCAGAGCGAAGATTGCACTGCGAAGAGATACCGTCACCATAACAACACATTTATAAAGTCATGTCGTTAGACGCCAGTAAGCAATACAAATAAATGTCAGATCGACTTCAAGAAGTGATAAAAGTGTGAGTGCTCCATACAATCTATCTTGAAAAGTATGAATGAAAGTGAACCAAAAAATACCAAATCCAGCAGACAGAATTCCTTACTTCGTGAAATATTCCAATGAATTACATTCGTGCATAAAAACGACCAGACAATTTTGCATTCAAGCGTGTTATCTTATACAAGATATAGGTAATAGGCTTTCTTGCAAAATTGTCGGTAATTTTTATGCACTCGTGCAATTATAGCCGAAAATTCCACGTATTCGGATGCGGTTTTCTTCATTTGGAATATGACAGATAGACCGCTGATGAAAATACATGGTAACTGGCTATATAGGGTGACAAACAAACCTCTGCAAAATGTTGAAGAATTCTCCATACTCTCACTTCGATGAAACATTTTTGGGATTTTTTCAATCATATTTTCATAATGCCCAAGCATATTTCTCGAAATTGTTTCGCAATTTTTCCTCATTTTTTTTTCGAAAAATGTGATATTTCGTACTACTGACCAGAAATATTATTATTTGTAGCTCAAATATCATAGATTCTTTCTTGGATGAGCTATTGTGACCTTCACTTGTATGAAATTTTATATTGTTCATACACAGAGTTATTTGCAAAAATAATGGCTAGATATTTTATTACAGTAAGACCGAGCACTCTGATTTAATTTGTGAACAATGAAACTTTATGTGATGAACTTCCTAATCATCCTTCTACTTCCACTCATCATCGGAATGTTGCTGAGTGTAGATTGTAGAATATACGTAGAGATTCACAATAACCTGCTCATTTCTCTGAATGGAAATTTTGAAGAAAATGCCTCTGGTTACTCAAAAAGTTAACGAAGGCAAGAACTAAGATGTGTTGATTGGAAACGATGAAACAATAAGCACCGAAATGAAAAATAATTCCAATGTTTAGTATTTGGTAGGCCCCCTCGCGCCCTTAACACTCCTCCACATCTTCGCAGCATACTTTCTATCAAACTTTTAATGAATCTTTGTGGAGTGCGCTCCCATTCCTCTTCAATATATGGCAATTATGAATTGAATGATATTTTCGATTGGATTCGATCTTGATCGTATTTGTAACTTTAAACGTGACAAAACATGTTCAATTGAATTACAATCGGGTGACTTGAGAGGCCATAGCATACGATTTATGTCGAGTATCTGCAACAACTGGTTGATGATCCGTTAGGCGAAGTCAAGCCAATAAACAGTTGAGAAATGAAGAATTTTTTTCAGATTTTTCACAAACTCATGGCGTAGTTACCTGGATATGCAAAGTAACCCCGTTTTTTTGAATTTTAGAATCGAAAACGTGGTTCAGTAAAAAAAAACTATCTGGTTTTGTGAAATATGTTGATTCGATTAAAACTGTCTTGCTAGAAGATGAACCAACGGTATCTGAGGTTCAATTAGGTATAGCAATTATGAAAGTCTTTTATGCGAATTCAATGATATTCAATGAGAGATTGAGATAATTTGTGATGAATAGGAATAAGAAGTTCAGTATAAAATCTTTGATTAATTTGGAGGCAAGTATTATAATTCTTTATCATTCATAGAAGAATATATAGATAAATTTAGTCAAGTTGTGCAGAGTTCAGTCTATGTACCAAGGTTGTCTCAACCTTTTAATCTTCAGTCAGTCAAGTTACCAACTATTAAGCTACCAGTGTTCAAGGGTGATAATGAGCACTGGCTAAAATTCAAACCTAATTTCAATTCAATTATTCATACTAATACAAGTATAGGTAACATTCAGAAATTTCAGTACCTAAGATCATATTTAGAAGGGTATGTTTTTTTTTATTCGTTTCTTTAACGTCGGCCGTTTTCTGCTACTGAGGCTAATCACCGAGGCCGGTGAGCACACTATACCCCCAACTAGAAATTTTGCCGAATCCTCTGGTGTTCCAACCAGAGGTAGGGATCTTTAACGAGTCCAACATCCATGGCCTCGGAACCGCCGGCTTCGTCCCCTCCGAAGGACGGCATATCCGTACCATAACTTGTGCTCATTGATATGGTAGCTGTAGCTATGATATGCTATTCCGCTACAGATGTACGGGCTTACGCGGCGTTTCCTCGAATGGTCACCCATCCAAGTACTAACCGCGCTCGACACTGCTCAACTTCAGATATCGAACGGCTAGAGCCTTACCTGAGAAGCTAGGGCGACGCCCTAGAAGGGTATGTAAAAAGAGTTATTGATACGCTCGAGTTCACTGAAGCCAATTATAATGCAGCATGGGATCTTTTGTGCAAACGATTTGATAACACCCGTGTGATAGTCAATAATAATTATAACATTTAAGTCATTTTCAATATCGAATCGATTAATAAAGAATCTGCATATCAATTCAGGCAACTTATTGATACTGTTTCTGAACATATAGCTGCATTGAGAGTTTTGAAGCAACCAGTACAGGACTGGAATCTATTGGTCATTCATATTATAGTAACAAAATTAGATACAATAACATAATGGAAAGAGTTCATATTAGAGAAAGAATTGCCAACTCTAGATGATCTTTTTAAATTTTCAAAATCTAAGGCTGATGTTTCAAAAACATAACGAATTAATAATCAAACTTCAAATTATCAGGGGCAAAATTCAAGAAGCTCATCAAGTAAACAATATTTACCACGTCAGTGTAATGACTCGAAATCCAGTCCAGTTACTCTATGTATTATGTATGGAAATGATTGGTATTATTGATAGACAATATTATTGATAGACAATATTATTGGTAGATATGTGTATCATAAGTCGCCTACCATAAAGCTGTTCCACCCTGTCTCATGACAACTGAATTCCGCCAGATGGCGATTGTATAGACAATATGAATAATCACATTTTGAAGTGTTAAGCTCCTCCCACCTTCCTACAATCGGCAACAGAGGTACAACTGACCCTCCGAAGAGGTGATGTCAGGTATAGAAACTGATTTGCATAATCAGAGTGATAATTTCTAAAATTATTATTTATTCTAGTCTGCAAAACCAGATACTTTGGCTAAGCCTGAGAACTTTTATATTATCGATTCAGATATACAGGATTTTTCTCAGAAAATATAGTCTCATTCATTGGCATTTCATATTATTTTTATTTAATTTATAAAAAAAGTGATATATAATAAGGTTATTAGTAAGTAATTATTATGTATGTACATTCTGATATTTTCATTCCGTTTCTTGTTGAGTAATTTTCATTCCTCTTGGTACCCTGGCATCAATGATCTCTGGAAGAATACATTCTCTGTAGAATTTTGTCAACTTTGGAGTCATTTCATTCCATATATCACATATAAGTATCATTTAGTTATTCTGCTTCATGAATCCAGAAACCAGCAGACATCTGAAAACTTCTACTAGTAATAACACATCAGTTATGTATGGTTGAAACATGGATATTGGTCCTTCCTGAAACAAACAAAAAACTCAATAATAATTATGTCACACCAGGCCCACAAAAAAATAGGCATCTAGAAGATGGATACCTACATACCTATAATTATCCGGAATCTATCACACACTCTATAGCATGGAACTACCTTTTTTCACAGCATGCTGTGCTTTTATATTCAAACCTTTCTGTTTCAAATCATTGACTGGCTTCTCATAGATTTTTTGATACCTTTTTTTGTAATTTCTGCACAAATATAATCTATTAGGTAGACATTTTTTCTAGATTTCTGATTTCCACTTGAGTATAGGCTGTACCATTCATTCGCTTCGGGTAGGTAGATATCTAAATCTGAAATTAACTGTTATTAGCTTCCAAAGCTTTGCCGTTCTATA